TCAATTGTTGTTTCAAATAAATGACGATAAAGTGACAATTTATTTCTTATTCAAAAAAAAAAAGAATTTTTCATTCGTGTCTCTGATATCAGGAAATTTATACTTCCTAGATAAAAAATTCTAAATTAAAATTTAAAAAGAGAAGAGGTACAAATTATCGAAATACTTTGCGATTAAATATAGACGCGAAGCATTTTAAAACTCTTCTCTTTCAATTATTTCTAGAAAGAAAATTCCTTCGAGAATTTTTCCCTCTTCTTACTCTACGAGAAGCGATAAAATGCTTTGGAATATTCGATAAAAAAATATTCGATCACCTTTATCAAAAAGACGCTTGAATCATCCTCGGGGGTTTACTGTTTACCTTTTCCGAATCCTTTGTGTTCTAGGGAAATTCAGTTCGTAGCAGAGGGTAGGCGCCAGAATGAAGTAGTAAAGATCACGGAAAGTCAAGTTGTCCGGATATTGCACCAAGACCGTGCCAGCGACGTCTACCTCGTGCTTCGAGTCGTCGACCTCCTCGCCGCTTTGCTTCGCGGTGGAAGCTGCAACAGGGAATCGTATTCGCGTTAGATGCTGGAGGGGAGAAAAAACAGATTACCGCGATGAATCACACGCCACGGTTTGCGAGCAACAGGAATTTCGCGAACCCTTGCCTCTGCCTTTGCAACCGGGCCGAAACAATAAAGAGAAGAAGAAGAAGAAGAAAAAAATTAGGGGTTAGACGCGAAAATCGGGGAAAAAGAGGAGGAAAGAAAAAGAGAGAGAGAGAGAGAGGAAAGTGAAAACACCGGGAGTTTGATGAAAAGGTATACCCGAGGAAGTTAGTTGCCGTGCTCGAGAATCATTCTCGAGCTTCATCCCCGAGGACCGAGGAGGGAGAGTCGTGTAGTTTAATCTTTCCAAGAAAAATCGGCGAGCGTTTAAACTTCGATCCCTCGTGCGACGTGAGTTCGGATTGCTATTCGCGGATTATCGTTATTAAATCATTTCGAAACGAAACGATGAAGGAGAAACCGTTTCAGGGGAGGGAGGGATATACTTGGCCAATCTTGGCCAAGAAAAGTTTGCCCAGACTTGGAAACGAGATCGATTCTCATCTCCTCGTCCACGCCTAATCCCCAGTCGAGGAACGGCTAACCGATAGAAAAATAGAAATCTCTCATTCGTCCGAATCCAATCTGGAATTCAAATAAGCTCGGTAATACAGAGAGGACTTACCTATTCTGGGATCGCGTCACGGCTCCACGTGTCCAAAACCGTGTTTTCGGAGAGGCGTGAATCGACGTGGCTCTCGCCATGAGAGTACGCGAGAATCGTCACGACGGACGGACGTTCGAGCGACGTTCAAACGAGAGTTTCACGAGCCGCGGGACCCCCTCCGGTAATAAGTGGCGAGGAAGAATTCGTCCAAATTAAATTCCTGCAACCCTCTTTTTCTCGCCCGTTCTCCCTCCAACATCCGTACTCCACCCGTCTTCTTCTCTCCTCATCCACCGGTATCCTCCTCCTGGCTGCCTCGTTTATTCGCCGTAATGGTTTCTCCTTCCTTCCTTCCTTCCTTTTTTTCTTCACCCTTTTTCCTGTGGTTCGAGTACTCAATATCCGAGTAATTCTCTGTTTCTCGTCCGTTTCGAAAGGGGGAGGGGGTTAATACGATGCCGCGCGACGATCAAGCGATGCGCCCCCCTC